ATCAGTGAGCTTTCATGGCTGAAGGGGATTTGAACTCAGGCCTCTTGAGTTCTAGTCTATGACTCTGTCCACTACACCACACTGGGTATCCATTTTTTTACTACTTGCTACTAATGTGATGCCTATCCACTACACCACACTGGGTATCCATTGTTTTACTACTTGCTACTAATGTGATGCGGGACGTGGTGGCACTGCGGGCTAAACCACAGAAGCCTTTGTGCTGCAGGGTCAGAAGATCTGCAGTCGTAAGATCGAATCCAAGCGATGGAGTGAGCTCCTGTTGCTTTGTCCCAGCTCCTGTCCCACAGAAGCCTTTGTGCTGCAGGGTCAGAAGATCTGGAGTTGTAAGATCGAATCCAAGCGATGGAGTGAGCTCCTGTTGCTTTCTCCCAGCTCCTGTCAGAAGTTCGAAAGCATGCAAATGCAAGTAGATAAATAGGGACCACCTCGGTGGGAAGGTAAACAGCATTCTGGGTCTAAGTCGCGCTGGCCATGTGACAACGGAAACTGTCTTCAGACAAACAATGTCTCTACGGCTTGGAAACTGGGGTGAGCACCACCCCCTAGAGTTGGACAGGACTGACTAAATGTCAAGGGGAACCTTTACCTTACTAATGTGATTGGTAGAGTTTTCCCCACTTCAGCTACTGGGTTTTCCCCTTCTTCCTGTTGGTTTTGGGTACCTTTGTTATCTGTCTCTTCTTCCCCCAACTACCTTTTGAGAATCAAGCATAGAAATGCAGTTTTATAATTCTTCCTCCGATTGTAACTACAGCCGATAACTGTGAGTGAATTTCACTTCTCTCCTCATAAGATGAATTTAGAGTGACCACTTCTTACTACAAAAGGGCTAGACAGTGTGTCCGAAAGGAAGGCTGTAACTCTGGGCCATATTTCTCCACACTTTTGTCTTTTCTGTCTTGTTCTCTGTGACCCAGGACAGTCTGAATTAAAACTTACTAATGTGATTGGTAGAGTTTTCCCCATCTCAGCTACCTTAGAGGTGAGCCCTGTGAGCTAACTTGCGCCTCTTTCATAAACTATGAAACTTTTAATGGATGTACTCTAAATATCATGGGAGGCACAATCCTAAATTTACAGGCTAGTCTGCTCGGGTCCAGAGAAAGATGAGCCAAATATATAGATATATAAGAGAATATTTTTTCTTTCTTTCTTGGCATTTTATTCACTTATAACAGAAACATTCACTTATCAGGTATCACTGAAGTGCAATTTACAGAACTTAGCAGCAAATTCACACCTGTAAATTCAGAATTATTTTTTGTTTGTACAAATCTTACAAATGTACATCCATTCGTACAGTATTGCCATTCACTCATGCTCGCTATGGACATTGCCTTCCTGTTAGAATTCCTGCTGAGTTGTCATTCTCCTGCGCTTCAGGAAATACGGATGTGAAATGGGCTCCGGTGGTGGTGGATCTGTCCAGGCGTTGCAAAGGGAAGCGAATTTTGGGCTGCTCTCAGGCTCTTAAAGAACCAAACAGAAGTCTTCCTCCAGGTCTTCTGGTGGATTTATCCAAGGCCGCCCAGAGCCAAGGGGTCAAGAAGATCCACTTGCTTTTCTTGCGTTTGCTTTGTCACAGTCTTTAATGACAAGAGATGGTTTGCATCAAGTTGTGCCACTCTTAAAATTAACCAAATCTCTGCACCTGCATTTTCTACAGTGTTCTGCCCACAGGGCAATCCAAGGATGGGGGAAAAGTGATTAATTTGACCTACCTGACCAATAAATAAGGGAAAGATCCCAAATTACATTTCAGATGTTTGCATTTTGTGCCAAAAGGGGTGACGGATCTGGGTGTTGTGCTTCACCAATTGCTGGGCCCTTCATTTCAACCAATCCCTTTCCACACAACTTTGGTGCAATCAGGGTATGTATCTTTCGAAAGTTCTTATTCTTTCTCCCTCCATCCCCCTTTTCCAGGCCTCACGTAACGTTGTTCCCATTGTGTTAATCACAGTGATCCCTTTCATAGACATGAGCAGGAAATCTTTTTATGTGAGTGGGCAAAGTTTATGCCACATCAAGGAAAGGAAGTAGGCCTGCAATTTGGGGGATGGGGGAGACAATCATGGGACTATTTTGAGAACTTCCTTACCTTTCTTATTTAGTTATTGTAGATTGTTTATAACTCCCTTTCCATGATTTCTATGTGGAAACTGCAGAGAGATTTTTAATATAACATTCTGAGTCTTCACCAAGCAGCCCATATGTGTCCTCACAACTGGTACAGTAGGTTAAAATTAGGTATTTTGACTGGCTCATGGTTTCCCATTGAGCATCATGTGAAGACTGAGGGTGGCCATGACTCTTCTCTGCTACACCATGCTGGATCTTCCAGAGCTTGATTGATATGCTACAAAGTACCATGGGATAGAGCCCATTTGAGTCTGGGTCACTTGACTGTGGACGAGGATGGTCAAAAGCTCTCACATATTAAGAACATCCCTATCTCTGGATATTTGTATCACTGAGCAGAGTTTCATTTTTGCAGATATTTCTTTCTTTTAGGAAGGTGGGTAGATGTGGAAACATTCAAACAAATGATCACCCATACACATCCTGGACCACGTGGTTCTTAAGAACACGTAGACTGGCTTTGAATTATTCCTAAATCCTACTGAAATTTGTAGGGCTTAAGACTGCACTCCTGTGCACCTTTACTTTGCTTCTATGTAAAAGTGCATAAGATCAGACTGCATAGGACGAAAGTTGAATCATGATACTTCATGAATTTCAGCAACGTGTGCATCTACCCGAATGTTCTCTTGATTCTGTCCCAATCTGCTTTTTCCACAGCATGCCCAGTTCCCCACATCCTGGGATTACATTTTAAATATTTCACACAACCTGTTGAAGGTTTAAGATCTAACACACCTCATTTTTGAAATTCAGCACTTGCTATCCTAAAAGAGTTTTCATTCCTAATTTCTTGAAGCAAACTCAGGTCTTCTACTATTTCTAGTCTAAGGATACTTTTTTTGGTAGTTAACATGGAATGTATTGTTTATTGAAAATATTTCTGTAAGGGGAAGAGTTTTTTTTAAATCTAATTTAAAAATCCTAGTTTATCACAATAGTTTCTTTTGTACAAGACACTATAGATACATCCTGTAATATATAATCTAAAAAATAAAAATTTCTTCAAAATACAGTAACTATTACTATTGTGTGGGCATTAATAAACAAATGTACTTACTGATTATGGCTCTCCAGACTTTATATAAGAGCATCTAACTTGACTTGCAAAAGAGGAGTATAGCATAAAGGAAGTTTGAGAGGGCAGGAAAATGCTTATAGAGGAGGGAAGAGAATAAGCTGTGTGCTTTGTTTGAGAAAGTTAACTCAAGGGGGGCAGTTCTAAGAAGAAACACCAAGACTGATCACGGATCAGTAGCAGCATGTTAATATGTACACATTTCATGAAAACTACAAGGTTAAAAAGAAAATAGTAGTTCTATACCTGCAAATGCTGTCGTTTCAAAAACTAAACTAAACTCAAGAAAAGTTTCGGTAGAGGGTAATTCTGCAGTTGCTTAGATATTTTCTCTGTTTTTTCCCCCTCTTTGGGCATCTTAAGTGACATTTCTCAGTTGCACCAACAACTCAAGAACTCATATATGCTCCATACAAAAACTCTCTGTGCATCAGGTGGGAGTAGGGGAGAGAACCAAAGGGATCCAGGAGAGGAATCCCAGTTACCCTAAACCCTAGTCAACAGGAAGAAGGAACTACAGTAGTTGGGTGTCAGCCAGCACAGTTATGGCCACTGGGCAGCTGTGGGGGCTTCCGAGGAAGGCTTGGTTTACAAGCAGCCACCTTCTATGAGAATGAAGGAGTTTCGGTTCTGTTTTTTGCACTGGTGGAAGTGCCATGGCAAACTGCTGTGAATTAAATGGTACACACTGAGGAATCCCTAGTGGTGGCTTGTTAACTAGTGGTCATTTACTCCTGTGAGTTGCATTCTTGCCCTTCTGCCACCTGCAACAGAATTTTGGCCCCGTGAATTCACAGAGCTCTGTTTCCAGTTGGTAATAAGAGACAGGCAATTCCTTTGCATGAAAGACTCTGCCTCCTGAAAGATGATCAGAGCTACAAGGGCTGGTTTGCTGATCATAGGAAAACTCACCCAGCCCTTTTCTGTCTGACTTGTAAGGTTTTACTGGGCATTGACCACACACCTTTAAGCTGGTCTTCACATATATAAGGAAAAGACAGGTACTGTGTTCCCTTTCTTTAAATAAACATATCTCTATGCAAGCTGATATACTGTATCTGGATTATATCAGCTCCTACCTATCTTAGGTGGAAATGAGAACAGATGACCTCCAGGCTCTAGATGATCAGAATGCAAGAAGAGACGTCTCTGTTCTCCTCCTATGAGGCCTTCTGTGCATCACAGGGAACTCAGAGGCATGGAGGGAAGAGGCACAAGATCACGTTTGGGTCATTAGGAGAGACAGAATGTACAGAGTACTAGGCAGAGGGGTCAGTGTCTTCTTTTGGGCTGTACAAGGAGACACTTTGACACAACAAGAATCCTGCCACCGGCAGGTGCCTCCAAGGCAAGGTGTAATGAGGTCAGTGAATAAATGAATTTTCCTCTGCCCAGTTTCCCTGGATGTTGAAAGCAAAGGTAGAATAATTCCCTCTCTCCTTAGGCTGTGCACTGGAGATGCCTGGAATTGCCTCCAACCGCTAAAAAGCACATTAGCAAATCAACAGCCCAACAATTTACAGGATCCCAATGCTCGGTAGTTTTTAATGATGTGCGTGTATTCATTGCACATTGTTCTTCCCAGCAGAGGTTTCTGCAATGGAAGCAGCACATTCCACTCCCAGCTGCTCCTGTTTCAAACGGTTCAATTGCTCTCCCCAGCTCAAATTTTAAATTAAGATAGCCAATGGGATTTCTGATTAGGTTTAACCTTTCAAAATCTTCATACCAAAGCCAATGAACATGATCAGTTCAAGAAGGTTAACCTATAGCTTCAGGAAGAGAGGTCTGTTCACTAGTCTTTAATTCTTTTATAGACAAGCACACCAGTGGTGAAGAATCTTTGGTCCTCCAGAGGTTTTGGACTGCAGCTCCCATAATCCCTACCATTGGCCATACTGGCATGGATTTCTGGGAGATGTAGGCCAGACCTTCTGGAAGGCCCCATGCTTCCATCTCTGCCATAAATAGAGGTCTACAATGCATGCTGAGTTTTCAGAAACCTCCAGGTGTCATGAAATGCCCTCCATTATGTGCTGTCAACATCAGCAAACTGCAGCTCAATCCATACCTTGCAAGACAGCTGGATCTTACAATGAATGGGAGGCCTGCCTGTATCTCTCACCAAGGGACCCTTAAAATTGCAAATGTCTTGTGTGCACTTGGTTCCTGGTGGACTGTGTGGGACAAACTGGGTCTCTTGCTGGGAGTTACAAACCAGCTGAGGCTAACGACACTGCGGTGTGCCTGATCATGTGCTTGCCAAAGGGTCAGCAGGACTTTCTTGCAGTCTGCTTGGTGCTCTTTGTCTGTTGTGCAATAAACTCTGTGTGCCTTTGTAACTTTCAGTGAGTCTGGGCACTTTTTTTTGGTCCAGTGTTGGCTGAGGATCACAATTGCACCCCTGGCCATTTCCTGAGGTTCAGATAATGGCAGTACTAGAGTGTCAGGGTTATGCTGGCCATGACACCATGTGCAATCAAGAACTCCTGGAACCGTATTTCTCCAGCGATTAGTAAACCCCATGTTTTCCTCGCTGTTTTCTTCTTCTTCTTCTTGAAAATACTCGTGCTGTGTCATAAATGCCCAGAAACTCCAACTGCGTGCTTGCGCTACTGAACCCTCCCATTCCGCACGCATTGTGACTCCGTCATTTTGGAGTGCACTCACAGGGCTGCAGCCTGAAATCCACCCACCTTCTAAACACACGCAAGCATGCACGCACATTCACAGCTTTCTTCTTGTCTGTCCGTGTACACTGAATCTAACAGTACCTGTTTGCTACCTAGAGAAATCTCTTTTTCTTCCAAAGGAAATTATTGCGCTAACAATGACAGGGGAACAAAAGAAGTTTTCTTCCTTTCGTTTTCTTTGCCAGAAGCAGGACCTGCTCTTGCCTGAAGTCCAGGATAATTACAGCGATGTGTAGTGTGCTACAAACGGGGAACAAACAGTGAAGGTCATTTTTGTAACCTGGGCTTGTACATCCTTGAGAAGGGATGGGCATGGAAAAGCAGTTTCCTAAGGTCAAGTTCAGTGCATTCCTCAGAGCAATATCTTAGACTTAACGTGTTTTCCGATACAGGACTCCAAGCTGAGTCGAGATACTTCTTCTCCTGGAGGTAAGTCTCAGACAGCATCCGCCGTGCTCCCAGCCCCTGCAGCGCACCTGCCCTTCTCTCGAGTCAGTCTGAGCAGACTCTGCCCTAAGAGAGGCCGAAGGATTCACACAGTCAGCGGGAACTGATCTTGCTCTGGGGGCTTTTTCGCCCAGACGCCCAAGCCGGCTCTCTGAAATGCTTTGAGCAGCTGCTGCTTGACAGACTGGTACGTGCGCGACACCAGCTTGGCCTCGCTGTACACGGATGGCATCTCTCCATGGCTTGGTACCCGCATGCTCAGCTGTAAGGGAGACAAAGGTTAGGGAGGAGAGAAGGGAAAAGCCTCAAATACAAATAATGAAAACAAAACCAGAACAGTAGGGCTTCAGCAGCTGGATAAATGGTTTCGTTTTCATTTTACAAACTATAAATCGACTGTTGGGTTTTTGTCTCTGTTTTTTTTATATAATATTATTGTGGTGGGGCAGGGGAGGGACCTGATAAGAGATAGTTTCCATTGGCAGAAACTCCGCCCTGTCTTGGAATGGGTTTTTGGAGAGCAAAAAATACATTTGCACAGCACTGGTAAGGAACGTTAGCCTGCTGTTCCTCTGGATTTCCCCAGTTATCTCGCTTTCCTGCTTTCCAAAGAAGTTCTGAAGCCTCATTAAAGCAAGTGTCAACAAATGACCACTGGAATGCTTTGGTTCCTTTCAAACTGCTATTTGTTCCTTGCTAATGTTTCCTCCTCGGCCACTTGGAAGGAACCGACGTGTCTGATGGACGCTTTGAGTCATTTGTTTTAAGTACATCCCAAAATTTTGAGTCTGGGATTTTGGAGAAGGGAATAAAACTGAACATCTCCCAGATTTGTACTCAGCCTTATGAATCTCCTTGTTGGAAGGAACCGATGTGTCTGATGGCCGCTTTGAGTCATTTCCTTTAAGTACATCCCAAAATTTTTGAGTCTGGGATTTTGGAGAGGGGAATAAAACTGAACATCTCCCAGATTCGTACTGAGCCTTATGAATCTCCTTGGTTCCCGGATATGATTCCAAGAACAGCCAATCTTCACCCATTGCCCCCCCCCAAAAGACCCGAAATCATGTATTTGATTCACTCCCACTAACATGAAATCCCATGCGAGGTGACATTTAGAAAAGCCAACTTTCACCAAACCTCCCCCCTGCCCTCTTCCTCTCTCTGTAATGGTTCCCCTTTGCCTTTTACAATCTTTGGAAAAACAAAGATTCCCCTTCCACACCCTCACCCTTCGAGACATCTTCTGTCTCTGCTGGTCTGTTGACATACTGTTATGGCCCATGGTCCAAACATCACCAAACCATCTTGGGTATTGAAAAATGCATTTAAGTAGCAAAAAAAGAGATCTCGAAGACAAATATCTGGTTCAGTGAATTATGTGTATGCTCCACAGAACACACCATTTCCCCCACTCAAAAGGCCACCGAGCAGCCATTGTCGCTTCTGTGCGGCATTATTATGAGCCATAGTATGGCTTGTCTGCAGAGAGAGAAGACAGGGATGAAAATACTCTAAATTCAGCCACCTCTCTCTATCCACAAACAGAGAACCAGTGCTTAGTGCTCACAGTACCTCAGGGGGTTAGGGCACCAAAGTCCCCACCCACCCACTCAGAGTGAAATATGAACATAAACCTTGTGATTCTTCTTTCATCCGCATTCAGGGATAAGGAAGCTTATTTCTATGCCTCTCTCACCAGATTGGTGTGCCATCCTGTTAATGCATTGTGGGTTGCATCCTTAGAATCACAGAATAAGTGGAAGGGGCCTATAAGGCCCTCCAGTCCAACACACTGCTCAATACAGGAATCCAAATCAAAGTCTGACAAGTAGCCTTATCGGCCTCTTCCCTACTTCCCTAGTAAATAACTAGCAAAATCAAATCTTTGCTTTCCATCTCTCTCTCTCTCTCTCTGTAGGACTCCTGTTTTTGCTCTTGGGTTTTCAAGAAATCTAATAAACAAACAAACAATATTTTCCCTCTTTGTGCAAATTGAGCTTTTGGGTAAAGCCGTGCTGGGGAGAGGATTATGTTCAGGTCATGGAATACACAACTTAAAAAACACTCCAGGGCACCTATCACACACCCCCATGTAGGTTTATTTTGAAAAAAAAAAAGGACTTAAGAAGTCCCTTTGTGCCCTCTAAAGTGCACAGCAGAGCAATTATTTTACGTTTGAGGAGCTCCCAACACCTCAATTTCAAAAAAGAAAAAAGAAGATTAAAATTATTTTGGCACTATAGGGTGTAAGACAGGGTGTAGTACTCCCCCAGTTTTTGGCACTATAGGGTGTAAGACAGGGTGTGGTACTCCCTCACTTTTTGTAAGAGGGAGAGAGAGAGTATGGATTGGGGGGAGTGTTAGGGAAGAAGCCCTCCGAGAGAGAGAGAGAGAGAGAGAGAGTATGGATTGGGGGGTGTTAGGGAAGAAGCTCTCTGAGGTCCCAGGCAAAAGGATGCACACAACCCTGGACAGTACACTGTACATTGACTGATAGCCGGATCTGGAATGCCTTGGTAAGATGCCATCTTACTTTGACGCTTGGATTCCATTTTGCACAGTTTATACAGAGCTGTGGGATTCCCAGTGTGGTGTAGTGGATAGCATGATGAATTAGGACTCTGGAGAACAAAGTTCGAATCCCCACGGTGATGGAAACTCACTGGGGGTGGTGGGATTGGTAAAACCACTCCTTAAATATCTCACCTACCTTGCCCAATTAGGGTTGCTGTCAGTTGGTTCCAACTTGACAGCACAACACGTACACACATACATACACACATACGCCCTGCCCGGAAGGAACCTGGCTTGATTACCACCCCTTTCCTGTCATGTCTCTGTTGCCCGCTACAAAGTTTTCCTATGCTTTTTAGATGGTTATATTATGTTTTAGTAATGGGCTCTAGGGAATATAAAATGATAGGAGAGACAGAAAGCAAGTGAGGATATAAATAAGCAATCTTTCATAGCAGTCCTTAAAAGAAAAAGGATGCCTTGGAGACAGGAGAAAGGATTTGAGTTCTTCCCGGCTCCAAACAGGCAACCAGATGCTTCGGAGGAACTGAAGAGGAGGATTCTATCCCACCCCTTTGATCTTTAGAAGTGTTATTAGCAAGGGACGCTGTGAAGTGTGCAAAAAAAGAGGGCTGTCATTGAGTAACTGGGGTTTGCCAGTGCATTTAGCTGAGAGGCACTCTTGTTGAACACAAAATGACATATGCCTGTTCTGAAACAGCCCCCTGAATGTGTTTCCTGTCCAACAGTTGCCCCAGCCTCTCCCCACCTGGAAAGAAAGAAAGAACTTCTTAGTTTTGGTGCAGGACGGCATCAATGACCTCTTTCCTGACATGCCAAAGATGGCAGCACGGCCACACCAAGCCTTCCCTGGTGTCGTCCACCTTTACCTTTCCGTAAAGCTTTGCCCATCGAGTGTAAAACATATGCTTGCAGAGTCGCGAAGAACCCCCACAGTTTCTTTTTCCCGTCGT